AGCCAGGGATTTGCCACAAGTGCTTTTCACCATATTTTTGCGAGGTGAGAAAGGACTTGCATGATTTCCCTGCATATTATAAATGCAGCAAAATTTTTCATTTGTGGTTTTAGGAGACAGATGTGTTTTTGTTTTGCTTTGAGGTGAGGTTTTTAAATATCTCCGTACTAAACAATACGTTCTTAACTGTACTCCATAGGGACTGAATGGTAGAGCAAGACTGGGGTGGTTTATTCATCGCGGAAAACCAAGGCACTTTAAAGTTAGAAGAACTCTTCTGTTTAGAAGCTTCAAGCAATGAAGGGTTGAGATGTGTAAGTGACTTATGCATAGTATTTTATAGTTATTTCACTACATTATAGGGTGTAAAACTCTGTAAGTAGAGCTCTGGAGCCATACAAAAGTTTTGGAAATGGTTTTGCTGGAACCATGCAGCCGGGTCCCCGTGCCCACATTTTCTTTGGATTTGAACTATGAAGCTGTATGGCAGGAAAAATAAGTGTTTGAAACTGAGGGGATTCCCAGAGCCATTCAGTATATGTGAAGGCCGTCTCTTTTAATAAAACTCACTGAGTGAGGGAAGCCTTTGGGCTTGCCTGAAGTCTCCATTACCCTTAAATTTAGTATCCCTAAATGAAACCATATTCTCTTGTGCTAGAGGGGGATTTGTCTGGAATAACTATACATTAAAAAATTATATTTCAGCATACCAGGACCTGACCATATAGGAAAGGTTAGCACGCTATACTGTTAATGGCTGAATCTTTAATAGTTTGTTAATCTTAATTATTTCTCTTGCTGTTTTATTAGGGTTGCCAAGTAGCACCTACCTTGCCGGCGGGGGACTCCCGTGCGGATTCCGGCGCGCGCGCCACATGCACATCACAGGAAGTGACGTCATGACGCCGGGCACGCTGGGGGCGGGGCCACGACCATACAAGGGAAAACCATAGAGTTTTCCCTTGTATGGCCATGACCCCGCCCCCAGCGTGCCCAGCGTCATAACGTCACTTCCCTGTGACGTGCACGCTGGGGCAGTGTTCCCCCCGGGGCCCGATTCCCCGGCGTCGGGGAATGGGCCTCTGGGGCGGGGTTTTTTCCGCCCCCCGGGGGGACTTGGCAGCCCTATGTTTTATGTAAGACACCTCGAGCATGTTCTCTGGAGAGGCAGCATACACATTTTCTGAATAAAGAAAAGGCAACAGTAAAGGAGAGAGTCATACTAAATTATGATGTTCTTATAGTTTTCAGTTGGGAGTGCACATTTAGATCATTTATTAGAACATATATTCATTTTGCCCTTGGTATCTTCCAGAAGAAACCCTCTAGTGTGACTGAAGCTGTGTGCCTTGCTATTTTATGTAGGACATGGGAGATGCATATAAATTTGTCCCGACTCTTCCTCCTAATTTGTTTGAATGAAAATTATGGAGGAAGTTGATGTTTTGATTCACCATACCATCGTGAATATCTCTTCAAAGTTATGAAGTGGGTTGGGTTCAAGCAATAACCAATCTCTGTTCACACAGGCAATTGAAATCCCTCTTGCTGGTATCCTGCCTAGAGTCTCTGTGTGTTTGGGAAGGGGTGCAATTTGTCAGTTCCCCCCCTTCTGTGGCACCTCAAAATGTCTCCCAAAAAGCTGCTTCTGGGGATAGGACAACCCCAAGAATAGCTGGGGTCAGAGGTCTCCAACAAGAGGGGAGATCTGATGAATACACACACCTGGTGAAATACTAGGTGGGATCCAGGTCTCTATATTTTGTCTGTCAAGGAATTTGAAACAGTGCATATTGGGATTAAAAGCTATTTCTTAATGTGTAAAAGATTTATTGATAAGAAAATACTGGGACTCTGGATGAATGAGGTTAAAGCAGAGACAATCGTGTGTAAAGGCTGGTGAGTGCTTTATTATGTGTTAGAATTGCTTTATTATCCACTTGAGTATGCTTACTAGTATGTGGAGGAAGTTCTGAAGAAAACTGTATATAACTGATGTTTAGGAAGAATTCTGATAATTTAAAACGGGGTACTGAATTATATCAGGAGGAACAGAGCCAGTACATGAACATAGTAACTCTGGTGAAATGCATAAGTGTTTTTTTTCTTTTGAAAGCCTTGAATTCCCAAAAGCTTTGCTTTCCTGATAATCACTTGAGAAGAAATTATCATTAATCAGGCAGCATTTGTTTAAAAAAATTACAGATTTGTGGGATAGTTCAGCTGTGCTCAGCTTGCTCAAACTGTAAAAGTTAAAGCAATAGTGTGCTTTTGGCTTCTTCAAGAGAGCATTTCGTTTATTTGTTTTTAAGGACATTTTTCTCCACAATAAATCCTGCGGTCCAATAGAGTTCTTTAGCCACTATCTTTCCTGTTCTGATAGCAATAGATTTGAAATCTTCGTCCTGTTATAGAAAGGGAGGATGTGGACCACTTGGGTTATTCTTTTACTGTCCATGGCAGTTGTGGTTTCAGTAATATCTCTGTATTTTTCTGTTTGGGTGGGTGCTACTGTGCTACTGTGGGAAATTGGATGCTGGTTAGATGGGCCATTGGTTTGATCCAGCAGGGCTTCTCTCACAAGCATGCCTGGTTCACAGCACGTCTTGAATCGACCTGTATCAAGATTATTACATTCATTAATCATGATTAAAATATAATTGCTAATGTGCTAGTCATGTCCACTTTTATCCTGTCTGCTGACTGTATTTTCTAGCTCGTGGATAAACTTGCTTTCTTGCTCGTGGATAAACTTGCTTTCTTGCTCGTGGATAAACTTGCTTGTGGATAAACGAAAGGATTTAATTTCACACTGGCATAAAATTAGGCACTAAATAGTGAGGAAATCAATTATTATTACTTAAAATATTTGTATTTTTGTGATTTCCTAGAAATAGTTCTTGGAACTATCCTGTGTGTGATTTATGTTGTCCTCCCTTACCCCCAGCATAGTTAGTCCCATGTGAAATTCAGGAGTAACTGTAAATCGCTCAGAGCCGGCAGCTCTGCATGGATTGAGCGATCAATAAATGGAAAGATTATTATTATTATTATTACTGTTACAACATTCTCATTTTATGGGTCACAAAGTTGCCAATGGCTTTGTGTGGGCATATCCCTATTTTGGCTGTTGCTAGGTTGCCTTTACTTACCTTCCTTTTGCTGTATGTGTCATAAAGTTAAAAGCCCACAACTACAGTGCCTCTTCCAGTCTCTGGGAAATGCCTATTGGTTCCATGTTCTACCCTTGTATTATACATGTTTTGGTTTTTCCTTCTTTGGCTTACAGAAGTATTTCACATCATTTGAATCCTCATTTCAAAGTAAATGGGCTACTGTTGCTAAATTAGATAGGAAGTCATGTAACCATGTCAAGGATTTTTGCATTACATCTGATGTGAGAAATCCCTTGGGCAGTTTCATATGCATTCAACAGAAAGGGTCAAAGTCCCCTTATCCCAAGTTATATGCTAAGTAGTACAGGACAGGTCAACAGAACAGGATCTTTGGACTCTTATGTGCCTTAAAATCTTGAGACTATCAGTATCAGCAGTCTTCCTGAGAACACTTCCCACAGTGCTAGAAATGGGTTCATGAAAATGAAATTCCCCTAAGTAAAAAATGCAAAACAAATGCAGAGAAACTATTTGATGATAATTTCTGCATATTACAGACCTTTTTGCTATATTATCTAGAGTTAGGAAAGAACTTTGGTCAGATTAATATATGCTATCTTCCTCTAATACTCTTGTCTCTCTTAACCATGTGTATGTTGTTCATTAAGAGGAATATAAATTAATATCTAGTTCTGTGACTGTCCCCTGTAGTTACAATAAGAGAGGTATGGCAGGCTTCTCGGCTGTGAGCCAGTATTCTGCATAAATGCTCTTGAAGTAAATAGCATCTTAATTGAATGTAAACTTGAAATTGGATTCACTGTGTGCTCACAGTGCAATTCTAGATTTGGCCTCAGTGCTGATATTGCCCATCCTGTACCTAGGGTGAATTAAAGGGTGATAGTCAGGGGTCATTTTGTAGAAAAAGAAGTGCATAAGCTCATTAGCATAACTCATTAGGACAGGGCTATTTTGGGGCAGGAACGCACAGTTACGGAGTTCCGGCTGGCTCCTGAGTTGGCCACACGCAGCAGGAACTCATTAGCATAATAGGCCACACTCAACAGCAGAAACTCATTAGGATTGGCTACAGTAGGCGTGTGTGGCCCAACATGCAAAGGAGTCCCTGCTACAAAAAAAGGCCCTAGGTTTTGACAACAAACAAGGTAAACAGAATAAGAAGCAAAAGGTGGGTGTGGCTGGATGACCACACTTCTGGCAATAGGGGGCTGCGGCCTAATATGCTAATGAGCTGTGGTGTCAGGGTGTGGCCTATTATGCTAATGAGTTCCTGCTGGGCTTTTTCTACAAAAAAGCCTTGCATTAGGATAGCTTATTTGCATATGCCACACCCCTTGACATCCCTGGAAGTGTGTCAGAAGGCAACACCCACTGCAACTTACCTGGCTGTTTCTTGCTCGTCATGGCCCGGGGCTGCTGGGAGCAGGGGGCGGGGCTTGTTGCATGTGCCCACCCCCTGGGCTTTTACTGCCGGAGCTCCGCTCCTGTGCACTCCTGCAGGAAATGACTCCTAGTGATAGTCTACATTGACCCTTCATAGAATCAAATGTTGGAGTCCTTATTCTTAAGTGTATTGATTTCCATTGAAGTGTGCATGTGACAGGTGCTCCAGTTATAACCAAGTGCACAAGTCAGTCCCATGGCTGCAAAAGTGTCAGATATTTGAAGCTTGGTGTGGGGGGTGTTGTAAGAACTGTAGATCAAGCCCTTCTAAAGCAAGTACCTTACAATAATGAGAGGTTCTAGAAAATTAGGTCACTTCATTTAATTGACTAACAGCTTTTTGTATTATAATTAACCAGCTTTCAAGTGCCAATATACAAACTGGTTGTATTTGATGTGACTGTTTACTTGTGTTTAAAGCTTTTCTGCAGCTGGAAAAAAAGGAACAACAGAAGCTGGTCTTGGATCAGCCTTCTATAGGATCGAGAAAAAACTACTCTTTCACAAATGAGGAAGTACGGGAAATCGATCAGGAAAACCAAAGGCTCTTAAAAGAATTAGCAAAACATTCTGGAAAGCCCAGGAGCAAAAGTGCCTCTCTGAAGAAACCTTCAGGCCCAGCACCTAAGCTGTACCACAGTGCCATCAACAGGCAAAAGGAACAGCAAAGGATTGACAGAGAGAATCTGGTCAGTTGAGTTACTTTCCTTAATAAGCCGTGTTTTGTATCAAATGTATAGAGAGTGAAGTCCTTACAAGTCAGTAAGGAACACTGGGGGGGGGATCATCTTCTAAATGCCAGTTTGGTGTAGTGGTTAAGTGTGTGGCAAGAGAGCCAGTTTGATGTAGTGGTTAAGTGCGTGGACTCTAATCTGGGAGAGCCAGGTTTGATTCCCCACTCCTCCACTTGCACCTGGCTGGATGACCTTGGGCAAGCTGTAGTTCTGATAAGAGCTGTTCTTGAAAAAGAGCAGTTTCTGTCAGAGCTCTCTCAGCCCCACCTACCTCACAGGGTGTCTGTTGTGGGGAGGGGAAGGGAAAGGAGTTTGTAAATCGCTCTGAGACACCTTTGGGTAGTGAAGGGCGGGGTATAAATCCAATCTCCTCCTCCTCCTCCTCCTCCTCCTCCTCCTCCTCTTCTTCTTCATAATTATTTCTTGCATTAAAAAAACTGGATGAAGTTGATGACATTAACAAAAGTGATAATCTCTTTTGAACCATCAAATATGTTCTTGTTAATATGTGCTCTGACCAGTGTTCTCTCTAAGCTGAGTTAGTGTGAGCTAGCTCACAGTTTTGTAGCCTCTGGCTCACACATTGTTGTCTTAGCTCAGGAAGGAGGGCTCCAGAGCAAACCAATTTATGCAGTAGCCAAATGGCTTGCTCACAACTTTGATGCCAGTGGCTCACAAAGGAGAATTTCTGCTCACAAGACTCCACAGCTTAGAGGGAGCATTGGCTCTGACCACAGTGCTAGGCTGTGGCATGCTCTGTGCTAGGCTGTGGCATGCCTTCATTTGTCCCTGAGACTTCTTGTATAAGAAATGGATGGATACCAGATCTTCACTGTAGAGTGCTTGAGTATCTGTTGTGTGTGAGCACACATAATATAATGATACAGATATAGGAGCACATAATTTGGGAAGGTGTTCTGACACCTTTCTAGGAAACAAGCAGCAGCAATTTATAACAGTACTAAGGCAAAACATATTAATATGTCAGTAAAATTTAAAAATGTCACCTGAAATGCCGAAAGAAATGGAAATAACTGAGGCAGTAGCTAGCACTCAGTTTCATTATCCGTATCTCTGCTTGTTCCCTTACCATTGAACTGTTGTAGTAACCATAGTAACTCATCTTGAGGCAAATGGAAATGCAGTTTCCATGTAACTGGTCTTTACCTCAAGCCAGTCAAATACAAAAACAATATGTTTCTGCATGGTACTTAAAATAAGCTGAAAAAATACTTTAATTCGTGATTGGACAACAATTTATGTAAGAACTTCAATTACTGCTAAGTGTTTATGAATATCATCTTTGTAATAAATTATATAATGATGCATAGAATAAATTAGTCAGATTTGGGTTCTTGTTGGTGCTGAATTGCTAGTTTCCAGTCTTAGTAGTCGGGATTTTATAAAGCTTTCTTAACTAAGAAACCCCAGTTTTTCATCTAACATTAATCAAAGGAGGGGGGAACATCTTTGCATCCTTTTAGTTTGGATTTTCTGTATCTTCTTCAACTCTGCTGTATAATCTCAAGACAGAACAACTACAATTTTGTAAAGTCTGCTGAATCCACATTCACCATGCTATGATTTGATAACATTGATATGATCATTTTTATTTTTGATCCCTTTTCTAACAAACCTCCTTTGCTTTGTTCAGTGTAGCAGCCCCAAAAAATCGCTGCTTTTTTCTTCAGTGAATTCTCTATTGTGAGGCTAGTCTTGGTTTTAGGACACTTTCTTCCCCAGCGAAGAATTCCCCCACTCTGTTTCATTTGCCAACACACCAACATCTTCATGGGTATACATTGCAGAATATTTTGCATTCAGGCCAGGGGGAAAAAGGTTGTCTATCCCTGGTAAGCAGTTTTACATATTAAAAATGACATTTTGAATTATGTCCAGAAGTTAATCTGTAGCAGAGTAATTGCTGTAGGCATCACTGGAGGTGAGCTAAGACATTCCATAACAGCAAAAGCTTCCACTTTGGTTTTAGACTAATCTAAAAGGTACTGACTATAAAATCTGTGCAATATAATCTTTTAATGGCTGCTCATCTGTGTCTACCTTGAATGGATGTACCTACCCTTGCTTGCTTTGTTGGACAGTGGTGTCTGTCTTGTAGATAGATGTGTGAAACCTCAGGGCAGCCGTGCAGTTAGCCACTTTGACTAGTGAAGTGGTAGCTGCAGCATAAGGCTCTGTGCTAGGGATGTGCATTCGGTTAGTCTGGACCAAATGCACCCCCAAAAATGGCCCATTCGGGCCCCTTTCGGGCTTCTGTGGGCCAAATCAGATTCTCTGATCTGAATCGGCTTGCCACCGAATTGCTCCCAAATTTTGGCGGCAATTCGGCCCCATTATATTCTATGGGCCATTGAAGTCAATGGAGAAAACATAGGGTATATTCTGGGGGCTGGAGGGGAGGGGGTACTCGCAGGGTAGCTGCTGGAGCCTCTCCCCAAGTTACCTACCAAGTGTCTAGAACATTGGACCAGGGGATCCAATTCTACGGGCCCCCAAACAGGTTGACCCCACCCCCTCCATTGTTCTCTATGGTGAGAAAAAAGTTTTTTCCAACCATAGAGAACAATGGCGAGGATGGGGGCAACCTGTTTGGGGGCCTGTAGAATTGGACCCCCTGGTTCAATGTTCTTGAAACCTGGTGGGTATCTTGGGGAGAGGCTGCAGCAGCTACCCTGCGAGTTTGGAGCCTCTCCCTCAAACCCCCTCCCCTCCAGCCCCCAGCATATACCCTATGTTTTCTCCATTGACTTCAATGGCCTATAGGATATAGTGGGGCTGAAATTGACATTTGGCTGGCCCAAAGACTCACCAATGGGCTGGTACTGCTGAAACTGACACGCGGGAGTCTTTCTGCCTGCCAAAATTGATTCTGCCCAATTCAGCGGAATCTGAATTGGGCCGAATTATTATTTTTTGCACACCCCTACTCTGTGCATTTGCTCTTTTTAGCTAAATGATTGAAAGTGAGCGGGAACAAAGTTTTGATGTGGCAGAAGCTGTGGTTCAGTGGCAGAGCACCTGCTTTGCATGCAGCAGGTCCCAGGATCCCCATTGAAGAGATTTTAGGCACAGGTGATGGGAAAGACCCTTCTCTGCCTCACACCCTGCAGACCCACTGTCAGTAAAAGTAGATAACGCTGAGCTAGATGGACCAGATGGTCTTAATTTGGTACAGGGTAGTTTTATAGTTTGTTGGAAAGAAGGGGGGGAATTAGGATTCACTGAATAACTGTTTTTTGTTATGTGTATTGAAATGCATGAGGGAGTGGGAGGACAGAGGCTTGACAAGCAACACCTACATGAGTGTAACATTTCATGTTTTGAAGTGAGCTAAAAGTAGGCACTATTTGTAGTTGAAGCGCTTGCTTTGATTTTTGCTTACTCCAGGCATTTCCACTGGGTGATGAACAAACTGGCAAATGCACTTGATTTCAGCCACATGAGAGAGACGGCACTACAGCCACCAATGACTTGTCAGCTCACTCTCATGCACAGTATTACATTTCGTGATATGCACAACCTATCTTAGTCTGGAGCTGCGGTGGCTCAAGTGGTTAAGACGCTGAACTGCAGGCTGTGGAAGGTCGGTAGTTCAGCAGTTCGAGACCCGGGTGCCGCATGACGGAGTGAGCTCCCATCTCTACTTCCAGCTCCTGCCAACCTAGCAGTTCGAAAGCAAGAAATTGCAAGTAGATAAATAGGTACCACTTCGGTGGGAAGGTAACAGCGTTCCATGCGCCTTGGTGTTTAGTCATGCCGGCCACATTACCACGGAAACGTCTTCGGACAACGCTGGCTCTTCGGCTTTGAAACGGAGATGAGCACCACAACCCTAGAGTCGGACTCGACTGGCTTTCGAGCAAGGGAACCTTTACCTTTTATCTTAGTCCATGGTTTTCTTACTCTGTTCAGGCCATGCCCGCAGGCATTCCATGGTACAGCTTTTCATACAGTTTGCCACAAAATCTTCTTTTGAACAGCTGGATTTTTAGGAACCTTCAGAAAGGCTGTGGAATAAATGTCCTTGTAGGAAGGAGTGGGGTGGGTTATAATGACTGTACCGGGATTTCACAAACTTCTGACAATGACACACTTATTTCTGAATAAATGTTAAAATCACTCTTGGAGCCAAAGAAGTTTAGTTTAAGAATATATAAGAGTAAGAATTTCTTACCATCAGGTATTGTTTCACAGGAAGTCACTGCTCTGGGCTTGTCTCATTCAATTCAAGCAAAGATGCAACAGATTATTCCCTATGAAGCCAGGCTGTTCTGCTGCTACTTTACGCTGGTTTTGATTGGATTATAATTAAACACCCCCAGCATAGGCTGTTTGGAGGGAGGCAAGACCAACGCAATGACTCATGCAGAGAAGCAGCAGCCAGCCCCCGTCTGTTGTTATTTTGAACCCATGGGCACCTTTTCATTACTTTGTTTATTTTCTATACTAGATTAATAGATTGTCTCAGAACATACTTGAACACCTGTCAGATGTTTGGAATGACTGTGCTATTTGTTTCCTTTTAAAGAAAATCATCCCAATACACAGTACCTGGGTTTTTCCCCCTGCTAGTGCTTTCTATTACACAATTGTTAACTGCCTCTGTTTTTGTAGCAGAAGCAATCAATTCTGTACAGCAATTGCTATATCAGACGTCAAGGGCACAGAGATGACCCTTCGATGGATGAAATGACACACACCCCACGGGTAGCTTTTCTCACAACTGGCTGTGACTTATCAGCATTTGTTCCCCACCTCCATCTCATACGGTTTTGTGAGAACAGACTGTGTTATTAAGCAGTCAGTTCCAAGATAATTATTGAAAAGAAAACATTGGCTATTTTTACTCTTTTCTCCTTGTTTAATTAATGAATATATTTTCTGCTGCTGTATTAGCTCTGAGTTGTGGGGGGTTTTTTTGCAGCTGATGGCTTGTTAACGATTTTACTCATTTTCCCCCCAGAGGTGGGGGGGGGGGGACTTTCCTGATTTAAAAGCACAGTGTTCTTTTATAAGTGAAAGTGAAATCTCAATGATCACAGTACTAATAATTTTATATATTAGTGGTTAAGACGCTGAACTGCAGGCTGTGGAAGGTCAGTAGTTCAGCAGTTCGAGACCCGAGTGTGCCGCCTGACGGAGTGAGCTCCCGTCTCTAGTTCCAGCTCCTGCCAACCTAGCAGTTCGAAAGCAAGAAATTGCAAGTAGATAAATAGGTAACAGCGTTCCATGCGCCTTGGAGTTTAGTCATGCTGGCCACATGACCTCGGAAATGTCTTCGGACAGTGCTGGCTCTTCGGCTTTAAAACGGAGATGAGCACCGCAACCCTAGAGTCGGATTCGACTGGCTTTCGAGCAAGGGAACCTTTAAACAGTGCTTTTCTACTTACCCTATTTTTAAGTGATTCTGCCTATAATCCTAAGGAGCTGGGAATATGTCGCATGGAATAACATGGGACTTATTTCTGAGTGTGGAGTTGCTTAGGACTGTTCCTCCTGAAGATTAGTGAAGACAAATAAGCTTTAAATAAACAATGCAAAAGTTGCCATTTGGTTTTTGGTAACCAAAACATTATTTAATTCAAATCAAGGCTTTTTTGAAGAGACTTGAAGCAGTGAAGCCAACGGTTGGGATGAAGCGCTCAGAGCAGCTGATGGACTACCAGCGCCAGATGAGCTATCTGAATGCTGCCCCTTCAGCCCCAAGGCGAGGGAAATCTGCTTTAAGCCACCACAGCCCTTCTAGTAAGTAGCTCCAGTAGTTTGTTAAGTTATAGAGTAGCAAAGCTTGAACTCTACAAGTATCAATACATAATGCTTTCTCCTACAGCAAGTTCCCCTTCCTTAGTCCAAATATTCCCACAGTTCTGCAAGTTATTCCCACCTATTTTAGCTTGCTCCAGCTGTTTGTAAAGTGTTGACCTTTATTGCCAGATAAACTTGCTCTCAGGTGCTCTGTTAACAGTTGCTCTGTTAAACATAAAAGAAGATGATTAACTTTCTCTCCCCCCCCCCCTAAAGGTTTTATAGCAAACCTGAGCTGTGGCTTATGTTTGTCCCAATTGTCATCTTTTTTGGTTACTTGTTACCTCAGTCAATTTGGAGAAGAAAGAGATGTATAAATATCCTACTTGGGGTGTCTTGATTTACATGTGTATAAAGTCTTAGTGGTGTTATGGGGGAACACGCTTAATGCATTTTACTCATTTTATAGTTCAGATTATAAAATGTGGAGTATCTTGTGTGGCTTTTGCTTCATTGCCTTTTTAAAATGCAGACTTCTCACACCTTGATGATGTTGTCCTTCTTGTGTGTGCCCTTCCTGACAGGAGGTGCCTCACGTGCATCCAGTCACAGCGCATCCAGTACGGCAAGCCGAAGGAGTGAAAGACCAGTGTTTGACTCCTCCAGGGGAGGCCTGCAGCGACTGAACTCTGCTAACGTTCAAGCTCAAGCGGCATGGCTATAAATTACTGGCACTCCATCGCTAGATCTCTCATTCCAGTGTTTCTGCAAATTGCTGTAATTCTTGCAAGAGTATTGTCATAGTCATTGTTTGGTGGTTAAAAGTACACTGTAAAGTGATAATAAATGCAAATGGATACTGAACTGAGTTTTGGGCAGGCAAAATCTCTGTTGGATGGTATCTTCCCAATCTGTAGTTCCTGTAACAGAATACATTTATTTGTACAGCAGAACTGTCAGATAAATACTGTAAATATTTGTCATAAAATCTTTAATGAAGTTTAGGTTTTGAAAAGTGGAGGAGCTGAATAGCTGCAGTTCTGGACTTGGAGGTGTTTTAAAAGTAATCTTTTCACTTCAAAGTTACAATAAAATTTTTGTTTCATTTTGATTTCTTATGTTGTAGCTGATATTTTTAATGTAACGTGTTATTCTGTTCCTGAGATTTATATCACAGGTGTCAAATATGGTATTTCACAAAGTTTGATGGAAACAGAGGAGATAACATGTGCTATTCAAATAATCTCTGTTATTTAAGTGTGAATGGTGGTTTATGGGTAGAAGATGTAGAGCATGATCTGAGTCCTTTCAGCAGACCTTTTGCATGCTTCTTCAGATTTGTATTCCAAGAAGTAATTTTGATTTTCTATCAGCTCTCCTTGTTTAATATTTAATCATTGCAGTATTGCCACTGCACTGGGTTTTATCAGTGGTCTGCTATAATAATTGAACAATTCAGTGTTCAGTAAAGAAGTTTTCCCTTTTGTGGATTAAATTATCATCTTTAATAATACTTTAGTGTCTGGTGAATAAACATTTAAACAATGATGTGGAAAAGTATGGTCTTCCTGAAATGAAGCTCTTTGTTGACTTGTATCACAACCTGTGGACAGCTCTGCCAGTCTAATGTGTTTGCATAGTTATGCTGATTGAATCATTCTTTAAAAATTGTCTCTTGAATGAAACACAAGCAGCAATTTTACGGATGCACTTTTTAACTGTAAGCACTTTTTTTAAAACTTCCTTTTATTTGATAAATTTGTTAATTCCTTAATAACAACACAGTGTGTGCTAAGATAACCTTATCTTCGAGTCCTGCTTGATTGTTTATGGGCAACATGAATTTTGTATGTGATTTCTTTTTAAAGCTTTAAGTAAAATGTTTAATTGAATTATATCTTTACTCAGCACTGAGCTGCTTTTCTGTGAGTAATTTATCCAAGTATCCATAAACAAAATGAGATATATTTGCAGGGTCATATTTAATTAACTTTGTAATACAGTTTGAGTCCTTTCTGCTTCTAATTAAATTTTCTTTCTATGGGCTACTTGCTCCATGCAGTTTCTATCGATTTCCCCATTATCCCTTGATGTAGTAAACATTGAACTGAATGAATGCTAATTCTGGACTTGGGGTGTCTTGATTTACATGTGTATAAAGTCTTAGTGGTGTTATGGGGGAACATGCTTAATGCATTTTACTCATTTTATAGTTCAGATGTATTGTTTGTTTGGACTATAGTCTTGTGCATCCCAGAGGCTGAATATCACTTACCATATTGCATAGTAGCAAAAAAATATTTTACCAGTGTGTACATCCAGCAAGGAGTTGTAGCCAGTTCTGCTATTTGATGCACGTGTGACTATAATTTTTGGTATGCATGCAGTGTGGTTTCCCCCCCCCCCCGCAGTGTGTATGCATGAAACGGTTAGGCATACACATTAAAATATAGGGTCGGATCCGGACTATATTTTCCATAAATGGAAGGTACTTCCATAGTTGAAATGGATATTTTCTGTCTATTGCTGCATCTTGCTGATCTCCCCAAAATTATGCTTTGGGGGGATAGGAGTCCCTTTTGGAGAGTTAATTGGGCCAGCACTGGAACTTGAGGTTACAATGCAGCGGTTGGAAGTTCTTCTTGGAAACTCAGTTCTGAGGTTTTGTACGATCCTCATTCAGATAAGGACCATGGTGTATGTGGAGGAGAAGCTTTCTCATGTGCAGCCCTCTCCTCGAGCTGATAACCCCCGACATACACCTTGAGCTTTTTTTTCGGATAGAGAAGAATGGTGCAGCAGGGAAAGTTGAAGCCCCTCCTCCTGCTTTGTGTCAATTTGGTTGATCCTAATAAAAGGTATTACACAGATTTTGTTCCTGTTTTTTAATTTTGCACTAACCAATATAGCTGTTTCAAAGTTTTGGGGGGGTTTTTTGCATACTTACAGACATAGAGTATTAAAGGGCAAGATTATGTAGAACTATATCCAATTGATTAAAATTCCCAAGTTCCTTCTATATTAATACCAGGTGAAATCCTAAGACACTTTCCTAGGAGTAAGCCACATTGAATAAATGTGAGTAGGATTCATAAGAAGACCTGCATGGGATGGTACTGTAATTCATCTTTATGTTCAGGTCTCTTAAAACTGCGGCTTCCGCTTGGTACATTTCTGTGCTAGCTCTCTGTACTGTACAAATCGCCTGCACTGATAAGAGTGGAGAAGATAAATCTGGTAGCCATAGTTCCCAAAGCAAAGCTACTACCTTGCTAAATTTATCATATTTGGAAGCCAGTGAATGGAATTGTTATTTCATAGATGTTGACACGTATCTCCGCTAGTAACGAACAGAGCAAACCTGTGCTGCTGCTAGTCACCTCCCTAATAGGATAGTTACACAGTAGTGGAATGGGGAAAAGGTGCCCCAACCATGTGGCCACCTGCAAGGGCCCCCCCCCCCGGAGGCGCAGCAGAAGGATGGGAAAGAGGCCCTGAAGGACTCAGACAGGCCCCCCAGCAGCCGCTCCATCCATTGCTCCCTGGAAAAGGCTTCCCACCACTTGCAACGCTCTTCAGCCACTCCCACTCAATTGCCACCCACACGGAGGAAAGGGTGGGTGGGATGAGCTGTGCCAGACAAGGGTCCCGTGCCCGGGGATCCAGAATCCTCTCTGAGCCACCAGCAGCCATGACACCTGGCCCAGGGGTGGCTGCTCCACCACTGCCCCCTCTGTCTGCCAGGGCAGAGCCGCTGCCATCCAAAGACATCAAGTCCTCCCTCTGTGTCCTCCTCCCCAGGGACTGGGGAGCCAGTGTTCCCTCTAAGCAGAGTTAGTGTGAGCTAGCTCACAGTTTTTTAGCCTTCAGCTCACAGATTTTCATCTCAGCTCAGGAAGGATGGCTCCAGAGCAAAATAATTTTTGCAGTAGCCAAATGCAGACAACTTTAATGTCAGTAGCCCACAAAGTTGAATTTTTGCTCCCAAGACTCCACAGTTTAGAGGGAGCATTGCTGGGGACCCTATGATGCCCAGCATACATAGGACCACAGAAGCTGTAGTTGGTCCACAGCGTCAGCAACATAGGCTGGTGATGCTTGCCACCTGTTGCAGGGGTTTGGCCGGGTGTGTGTTGCCACCTAGTCCATGGCCATCACAGTGGCTCCTGTTCCCTGGCAGCTGCCTCAGTCGGGCCCCAACACACCTAACTGCCTGGTGTGTGGCATCCATGTTTGTCTGGGGCCCCAATGCTCACCCCCATGGCTGCCGGGTTCGATGGAGAGACACCGTGTCCAGTGCAGCTCAGTGCCACCATGGTAGGCCCAAAGGAGGTGTGTGGGTAGGGGACTGGGAGCATTGCTTAGCTGTTCATATGCGGCTGCCCCTTGGGGTTCCTTATCCACAGACCTCTATCTGAACCTTGGCATCTAAGGTCTGATTTAAACGATATTTCAGCAGCATGGGGCTTCTTTACATTTTGGTTGCTCCCACATCACTGCAATAAAGCACAAAACCTCTGCTCAAATTAAATGGTTGGATAGCAAAACAGAACCACTCTAGCTTCCGAAACCAGGTCAGTGGGGGATTTAGATGTGACTTTATCAAACTGGGAACAACCAAGACAGCAGCAGTTCTTACACTGATAAAACATCTGTTGTAGTTGGGCATAATAGCAGGGGGATAGCTGAAGCTCCCTTTTTGTAGACATAAATGTAGCAGATTTATGTGTGGTGGTAAGTTGGAAGTTTACTCACAATGCTCACAAGGTGGCATTGAAGAGAATCGTCTCCACAATGGTGCTGGATGGACACCTCTTCTTGTTAAGTCCAAGATGGACCTGAGGAAAGAAGACATTCCCAGGAGGGTGGTGGTGGTGAACTCAACAGATTGTTAGGAAGTGAAAACTTTGTGCACAAATACTCCATGCTCCTCCATGATTTTGCCTCGTGCTTGTACCGTGCAGTTCCCCAAATGCCCATACTGGACCTCTAGATGCTTTGTGTCTGGTAAGTCTTCCAAAGGAACAGGGACCATGGCTCCATGGTAGAGCATTTGCCTCACAGAAGGTCTTGGGTTCATTCCCTGGCAACTGCATTTCGAAGGATCAGGCAGAAACTCCTGTGGAAGTCTTCTGTCTGAGACCTTGGAGACTGTTCCCTCTAAGATGAGCTAGTGTGAGCTAGCTCACAGTTTTTTAGCCTCTGGCTCACACATTTTTGTCTTTGCTCAGGAAGGATGGCTCCAGAGCAAACTAATGTATGCTGTAGCCAGATCACTCGCTCACAACTTTAATGCCGGTAGCTCACAAAGTAGAATTTTTGCTCACTCCACAGCTTAGAGGGAGCATTGCACCAGCCAAAGCACACAAGGCTGATTGGGAATGTTTTTTAGGTTTGGGTATGATTCTCTCAGCTATTTATTGTTTCTTGGTTGTATTTAATAAAAAAAAATTCCATGCAGTTTAGCTTTTCATTTGGAGCAAGTCATTGCTCACCTTGCAGGGAGATAAAGCTACTGTTTTTGCCTTGCGTTGTCTGCACAGCAAGTTTCCTTTCTGTGAAATGCCATTTATTTAGTCAAAAATATATTCATTAATTTCCCTTTCTGTCACCTTCTGGGGCTTTGGTTTGCTGTTCGTTTTTGTAACTTCAGTTTTACTGCACCTCTGGCGTATATCTTCTGCTAATTAAAAGAACAGGCAGTTTTCTTGAACCGGGTTATTGGGGGTATTAGGAAAGCAGATACTGATTTTGTAGATAAAGGGGGAAGCAATGATGAAATGTATGCTTCTA